AAATATGGAAACCAACGAATCAACCATACTAAAAGGAGATTTTTTTAAGGGTATAGGTTAAGAGTATTTTTTGTTATAAATTTATATTAAAAATTTTTTAAATTGGCATTAAACTTAATTTATTACATGAATAAATTTAATTAAATAATTAATAAATTAAATGTTAATTTTTACTTTTTCAATATTCTTAACCTATACTTTTAAGAGTACAAGTTAAAAAAATTTATACTAAAATTACACTTGACAAAATTCAAACCCAAAACGTGGAAGCACCAAAGCCTCTAAGACTTCATTATCATGAATATCACACTAGCTAGCAATGAAATAATGAAGTATTAGGCACCCTTCTATACTAAGATATTGTTAGGTCATGACATGATTTACCATTTTCACTAGTATAAAATTGTGAACGAGCTAGACTTAAATAATTAGGACTTATATTATTCTTTAATTTAAGGAATACATTTGTTCAATGAATTAATATCTAGCTTGGGCAACAAAGGCCAAACTTTTTGCGCTCATAAAAACTTAACTACTTTGAGGGTTTTTCCTTATATCTAATGTAAGACCAATGCACGTTTGCATACTCAGTCAGCACCCATGTAGAATAATGGAGTAGCTAGGGTAATGACAAGGCTGTAACCTAGATTATGACTTTATGTAGTTCTTGGGGGCCGATGTGTAGTTAGGTAGGCATTGTAATACAATATATTGTTGGTGGACAAAAGAAGGATACGCTGTGAACGGTTAATTTGGTTAGACAAGCAGAATCCAACCTTCTAAGTTTCAGACACAAATAATGACTCAAAGCTAATTAGATTCTCAGAAATCAATGAAGTCGAATCGATCTCCATAGTGAAGGAAAGACAATCAACTTTCCTTAGATTCTGTGTGTGTGTGAAATTTAGAATGAAATACTAACTTTATCTTGTGGTCCTGCATGCATGCTTATTCCCAGCTGGTTAACATTATTGTTGTCACGATAAAAGAAAAAGGGGAAAACAGTAAATCTGCCTTCCAACTTACTTGATCATTGGAGAGATCACCCCCTTTATTTTTTTGTCAATCCAAAAAAAAAAAAAATGGAAGATATTATAACAAGAGTACAATGGATACTTCGACCTGTTACAACTAATCACTAATTAACAATGTTTATTGACTTAACATATAGTTGACTACAGGAAATAAACAGCAAAATCACATATTGGATATCGGGTTCTAACAAAAATTTGTTGTAAATCTGTCCTTCAACTTCACAGTTGTGGTGATAAATCATATAATTAAGACAATTATTTCCAAGAAAAGTTTGGTTTCCTTTTTTCTTTCACAATATATGCACTAATACATGGAGTCCTGTAAAAAGGAAAAGTGATTTCATAATGTGGACAAAAGGTGACTAAGTTACCACCATACAGCACCTGCCTTCGCTGTAGTTGGACAAACATATGGTTCTGTTCAAGGTAACTAAAAATGCCCTGAAACCAAAAACATTTCCCTAACAAATGTTTGATGGACGACAAACACAGCTGGGTTCCAAGATACTTCGAGACATTAATGTCATTTTTCTTTTTTTCTTTTTTCCTTTTTTTTTTATCAACAAAAATTTTTTATTTATTTAAGTACAAAAGATACTCTTACTCATTACATATTAAAATAAGTAACATTTTAATAATGCCACATATTTGATCACTTACTCACTCTTATATATGTTCCTATCCAATTCCAAATTTAAAGACAAAAGCTGATTTTAGTGGATTAAGGCCTCCCTATGATTATTATGCCATAATTCCTTTGTCAGATCAATCCTTGACCTTGCTTTAATCCAAGAGAGAGTTCTGTATTTAATAAGATCGAGCACTTCACCATTTGAACTATCCTCTTTCTTGAATATCCTTTGGTTCCGTCAGACCCATAATGACCACACCGTAGCAAACCAAATAACAGACCACACATTGCTCAGCACTCCTTTTGGAATTAAGCCAATACGTTGTAGAAGGTGATCATTGCAATTTCCATTGGCAGCAACCTCAATTCCCCACTAATTAAGAGTAACATAATGCCCATACTTTCCAAGACTCATTGCACGAAAACAATAGGTGATCAGCATTTTCCTTGTGTTGTCCATAGAAAATACATTTAGAGTCTTGTCCCATCAAAAGTAAGCCTCGGGACATTGATGTCGTGGTTCTCCAAAAGAATCCTTTCGGTGCATATAAATTTATACGACTGGAAGGTTTGAATTTGAAATTTTCAAACTTTTCTATCACTCAATCAAAGTGTGCTCCATGAATTGTTAATGTGACCCAAAAGAATATTAGAAATGCAAGATAGCTGTTAGTCTCAAAGTTGGGCAAAAGAGAAATGCCATTTGATTTGGCTTGAAATGAATTTATAATTTAAATATTTTTATTTGAGATTAGTACATATCAGTCTTGATATTTTTTCTTTAAGTAGAGTTTTAAATCTACAATTGAAAACCAAAATCTTGATTTAAAATTTAAAAATTTACCTTATTAAATATTGATATCAAGATTTGGAAACCAATTATATATTAAAATATATAATCAATTTTCAAATCTAAATATCAATATTTAATAGGATATATTTTTAAATTTTAAATTAAATTTTAATTAAATAAAATGACTTAATTTAAAGTTAAAACTCCAATTTATTTTAAGAGTCGTAATTGATACGCATTTTTTCCTTTTTATTTATCTAATTAGTTCAAAATTCAAATAAATCGCTAACGTCAAACCTTCGTTACTAGACACCCCTTTAATATAAGTTGTGATAGGTTTTAAAAGTATATTGAATTTGGTCCAATCAAAATTGGTTTGATTTGAACACTCCTATAATGATGTAATATTATGGTACAATGCTTTAAAATGGATACCTTTTGTCTAGAATACTAGAATATCTGAGCTTTGTTTGGCATTAGGATACCTTCTGTCTAGAATCATAAATTGAAGGAAATTATCACATTAGGTTGAGGGTTGTGATAATTTTCTTTATTTTTTCAAAAGTAGTATATATAGAAGATAAATGGTTTTAAGGCAAATCTAAATTAGAATATGCTTACCCTTCCTGACAATGGGAATCTTGAATTTGAAATAATAATTTAAACATCTAGAATCAATTTATTTAAAATTTAAGATAATATCTCAATTGATTAAAAACTCATACTCAACTCAAAGTTTGAAGTGTACATTGTAAACTTCCATCGCGTATTTTTTTTTAAAAAAAAGTGTATATTGTAAACCATTTTATTGAGCCCATAACAACTGCATTGAGCCAGCCCATATACGCAGCGGTTGATGGCCCAAAAGAAAAACGGCTCTATGGAATTGGGTTTGGATGGTTTCTTTCTTGGGTTTATTTGTCGTTTCCTCCTAGGGGTTTCTAAGTTATTGATGCAAATTTCTTTTTCTTCTTCTTTTTCTATGTTAATGTCGTTTAATTTCATGGAAAAAAAAAAAAGAAGAAGGGAAAACATGATAAAAAGCAATAGAGGTGAAGTATTATATCTCTAAATTTTATTTTATTTTTTATATATCATATCTAAATTTTAACTTCTTATATTATTTAAAATCTTGAGTTTGAATTATAGATTTAAGAGAGAATTGAATTGTTTCCAACCAAGACAAAGCACTTCCTCTCTAAATCGGACTCATCTTGGGTAGTATGTATAGCCCCCTTCCACCTCTCATAGAAGCCTGTGGGGCATTAAAAAGGGATAATGGAT